CTGATTGATTGAGCGAGATTTGAGGTAAGTGACTTGTTTAACTTTGTGTGGGGGAATCTTCTTAGGATTTGGTACTGTTGTAACCATTTGTGATACATGAGCACCGTGTACGCGAGGTGACAAGTGCATACACGGGCTAATTGTGGAAATTTTCGTTTCTTGCTGAGTTGTCTTCTTTTAAATTCATTAACTGAGTTGCCTTAGCATATGTAGTGATCATGTTTAGCTTAGTATTGCATATCTAAGTGCCTTAACTCTTACTTGCAATTTGTGCAACATGCTTAGTTGAATTACCCGTTTCCCTTGATTTGAATTAAATCTTTAACTGTAAGATTTCTTGCTGTAAATTCGTTGTTCCTTTGGTTATCTACTGCATATTTACTTTGTGACTACGAGGCGTTTACTCGGGAGATCCCCTGTACTGCATATTTATTTTAGGACTACGAGACGTTTACTCGGGAGATCCCCCTGTACTGCATACTTATTTTAGGATTACGAGGCGTTTACTCGGGAGATCCCCCTGTACTGCATATTTACTTTGGGACTATGAGAAGGTACCTCGGGAGATCCTCCTGTACTGCATATTTACTTTGGGACTACGAAGCGGTACCTCGGGAGATCCCCCCTGTCGTGCATATTTATATTTGGGACTACGAGGTGGTACCTCGGGAGTGCCCTTGTTATTTACCTCTAGTTGTTGTGCTGTTATTTTCTGAAACTTCTCGTTGTTTTAAATTCACAGTCATTTCAAAATATTATTATATCGTCTACCTTATTTTTCTTTTAAACCAGTATGACCCTGACCTGACCTCGTCACTACTCTACCGAGGTTAGGCTTGTCACTTACTGGGTACCATTGTGGCTTACTCATACTACACTCTGCACATCTTTTTGTGCAGATCCAGGTTCTTCCTACCAGGCCAGATACTAGTGAGATGGATTGTACGTGAAGATTTCAAGGTATATCTACCAGCGTCCGCAGACCTCGGAGTCCCCCTCTATCTTTACTATGTGTTTTTTCCTTATTCTCCTTAGACGTTGATATATAGAGACACTTAGTATTTGCTCTTAGTAGCTTGTGACTTATTTTCACTGGGTTTTGGGAGTTGTAATTATTGATTTGCAGTTTTATATGTATTTCGTGTGTTGAGAATTCGACTTCAGCTTTATATTATGATATTCTGCAAATTGTTAGGCTTACCTAGTCTTAGAGACTAGGTTCCATCACGACATCCTACCGAGGGTGAATTGGGGTCGTGATATTTTTCCTAAAAATTAAAATACTATTATTACTAATTCATGCTAATTAAATAAGATATTTCTAATTGCACAATTCTACCAAACTATATATTAAGGTAACAGATATTATAATATAAGAATATTTTTTGGTATTTTTATATAAAAACATACTAAAAGTAGTGATAGAGAAAATATGTTAAACCTTAAGAAAACTAAAACAATAATAATGATCCCAAATTATATAAAATATCATAAAGATGAAACTATTTTTGTATTTTCGAAATTTTATTTTTTTAAAGCTAAAATTAAAAATAGACTAAAATCCTATTAAAATAAAATAAGCAAATATTTTCAAATACTAATATTTAAAAGTCGTGCGGGTCAAAAAATTACGTGCTTACAGATCTATTATCAAGGCTTTTAGCAACATTTGCTATTGTGTTTATGAATTACCTTTTGCCAACAATAATTTCACAAATATATATATATATATATATATATATAATTGATACACAAGTATTTACTCTCTTTCAAAAACTAAATCTCCTAAAATGTATGCTTTTACTTACAAAAAGAACAAAAGCATCATATACCAAGGTCATTAAATTCTTATTTAATTCATCCAAAAATAAATCTTCTTCCAACAACTTGTTGCACTGCATGAACCATATTTCCAGCAATGATGATTTAAGCATGTCCATCCTACTAAGGAAGATAAGTATAATTATATTTTGATAAAAGGAAGTTGTAAAGTACAAAACTACAATTAACAAAGAAAAAAGGGGAATTAGATGTGCCTATTGTCCACTTACTAAACATATTGCAATTACTTCATCACTGAAAATATTACATATTACAGAATTGTTGAATAGAAACATTCAGCTAAAAGAAAACTGAATATAAGTTGCAAAATTATCAGATCAAGAGAACTACTCCAAATAGAATTGAATAAATAAGTTGTAAATTGTCACGACCCAAAATTCTTGAAAGGTCGTGATGCCGCCTGACACTACTGTCAGGCAAGCCAAACCCAATAATTAGTAAATTCTCATTTTAATATTTTTGAAATTACAGTTTTTCCCCTCAATTAAATAGTAGAAGATGGAGTTTACAAAATACATAATAATATCTTTAAAAATTTCAATACAGTGCAACCCATAATCATCCCAAAACCCGGTGTCACAAGTGCATGAGCATTAACTAGGAATATAAAATAAAATACAACAGCTGTCCGGAATACAAATTGGACAGGAAAAGTATAAGTACTCTGAAGGAGACTCTATTGGCTGCGGAGCGTCGTATAGAATGCATCACTTAAGTCCTCGCCATAATCCCGCATCTGCGCCCACAAGGCCGCTAAACATATGTGTACCTGCACAAAAATATGCAGCAAGTGTAGCATGAGTACGAAAATAATGCGTACTCAGTAGTATCCCGCCTAACCTCGAAGAAGTAGTGACGGGGGGTCGACTCAGACACTTACTATAGGATATAATTAATATACCAATGATATGATGAATTATGAATTTTATGAGACAACGGTAAACACAATAACATGAGGCAGGTAAATAATTCTCTTGTTAATAGGGGATTTCCAAATTTATTTTCATCTTTTAACAATTTATATCTCTGGCCAATGAGGCCATATCAATTATCAGTAATTCCAAAACAATCAATTAGGTCATGCGCAAATCATGCCAGGGTCGTACGACCCGATCCAATAAATATTTAAATTGTGCACTGCCAGAGGGTCGAATGGCGCGAATCATAGATGCATCTATCTAATCTACCGAGGCGTTCGTCCCGTTCCACAAAGATAAACACATTCAAACAGTCAATCGATAATTCATCAAGGGGGAATTATCTAAGGAAATGGCAATTGCTCTTTTAACAGTCAAGAAATGATGTTTAGCTTTTTAGAAAATTTATTTACCAAGTTCAATATGATTTAAGCATTTTAAATTGACAACAAGGTTGCAAATATTACAAGTAGAGCATTCTTTGGGATCCTAGACTACCCAGACTTAAGCATAATAGTAGCTATGCACGGACTCTGGTCACCTCGTGCGTACGTAGCCCCCACAAATAGGAGCTCATATTGATTTATTTCACCTATGAGGTAAATTCTCTCTTACAAGGTTAGAAAGGAGACTTATCTCGCTCCGAATAACCGGCTCCCAAGCCATTAAAAATCAACTCAAATAAATGTCCAACGCTCCATAACTAGTCAAATAAGATGCAACCCAATCAAAATATGCTCTAATACTCAAAAGTAATCAATTTACAACAATTTTCAACTCCGCTCGAAAAGTCGATAAAGCACCCTCGGGCCCACGTCCCCGGATTCTAAATTTTTTTGAAGATAACCAATACTCATAACCTCACGAACTCAAATGTATGATTTATTTCTAATTCCATGCCCAAATTCGTGGTCAAAAATCCAAGAATACGAATTTCTACGTTTTTCTTAAAAAATCAAATTTTCTACTAATTTTCTTGTTTAAATCCATATATAAACCAAGTATTTAACTTGCAATAGGTGGGAATCACTTACCTTGACATAGATGATGAAAATCTCTCCTTGAAGCTCTCCAAAAATCGTCCATCCCAGTGAAAAATGAGAGAGAATGAGCCAAATCCTGTATTAAATCCAATCTGCCCAGACTCGTTCTTCTTCGCGTTCGCGTGACCAGTGTCGCGTTCACAAAGGCCTGACCATGCACAACATCGTGTTCGCGTTCAAGCTCTCGCGTTCGCGGTAGCCAACTGCCCTCCTTCTTCGCGTTTGCAGTCTAAGATTCGCATTCGCGAAGGCTTAATGGCTCAGGGTCCCGGTTCCCCTTCCTTCTTCGCGTTCGTGACCACTGCGTCGCGTTCGCGAAGGCCAAATCCAGCACCCCAAAATTTTTTCTTTGAGAACGCGGGATTTCCTTTGCGTTCGTGAAGAAGGAAACCAGACACCAGAAACAACAGTCCAAAACAGCTCCAACTTGGTCCGAAACCACCCGAAATACACCCGAGACCCCCGGGACCCCGTCCAATCACACAAACCAGTCCCATAACATAACACGAACCTGCTCGAGGCCTCAAATCACATCAAGCAACATCAAAATCATGAATCACGCCCAATTCGAGCTTAATGAACTTTAGAACTTCAAACTTCTACCTTCGATACCGAAACCTATCAAATCACGTCCGATTGACCTCAAATTTTGCACACAAGTCACATTCGACATTATGGACCTATTCCAACTTTCGGAATCAGAATCCGACCCTGATATCAAAAAGTCCACTCCCGGTCAAACTTCTCAAAAATCTTCCAATCTCTAACTTCCGCCAAATGATCCCAAAATGACCTACGGACCTCCGAATCCACTTCTGGACGCATTTCCAATACCAGAATCACCATACGGAGCTATTCCTAGGCTCAGAATCCCAAACAGACATTGATAACATTGAAATGCACTTCAACTCAAATTTAAGAAATCTTTCTAAAAATGCCAACTTCTATAATAGGTGTCAAAACGTTCCCGGATCATCTAAAATTTGACCCGAATATACGCCCAAGTCCAAAATTATCATACGAACCTGTTGGAATCTTCAAATCCCGATTCCGAGGTCGTTTGCTCAAAAATCCAACCTTAGTCAATTCTTCCAACTTAAAGCTTCCGAAATAAGAATTTTCTTTCCAAATCAACTCTGAACTTCCGAAATTTTAATTCCGACCATGCGTACAAGTCATAATACCTGAAGTGAAGCTACTCATGGTCTCAAACTGCTGAATGACGCGCTAGAGCTCAAAACGACCGGTCGGGTCGTTACATAAATCTTTCAAAAAACCACATCAAAGCTGAATACTTTCCCAAACAAAGTTGCTGCACCAAAACCTACTAAATATTCCCAAAAATACAATATTATAGTCAAAATCAAATACAATACAAAGATTGATTCAAGTAAATAGACTCTTTTGTACATACATCCAAGATATTTACTTTTTTTCATGAAAGATTAAGTTACTTAGCATGACTTGTAGACTTGCCTCGTCCTCTTCTTCCAAAATATAACACTATAAGATCAACAAGTATAAATAATAGCAAGAATGTGAAGGCTGTAAAACAAAGTAGAGGAAACGAAACATACAATTCACTATATGACATGGTTCCATCAATGTTAATCTCCTTCATAGCTTTTCCAATTCATTGACAAAATCAAGAATCCTCAAATAAACTTAACTGGTTGTGCGTTTGGAATTACACAGCAGGTACAACTCTACTAGAAACATGTATGACAGTCATGCCATAATCATAATTATAGGGTGCAAGAAATATTGGACCATCATAAGGGAAAAAGTGATGCAATCAGTAATGGATAGTGTTAGAACAGAAACAATAGCCTTCTTCCTTGGGTTTCCTCCTAGGCTGCTTAACATAAAGAAGGATAAAGGTAGGACATGATTTGAAATATTTAATTAATACTTATATGTGATTAGAGAACAATCCACTCAAGCTGCAACAGAAAGAACCAAGTTCTCTATATATGAAATTTGTAAAGAGTAATATCTTTCTTTATGCTAAGTTAAATTTTTTTTCTCAAAATAAGTCCGGGTGATTACAATGAGAATTGCAAATGACTAAGTGATATTTAGTACTATGAGTTGTTGCATTTGGTACCACTTTCTCTTTGCATATCAAAGGTTTCATTTTTTATTGGTCAAATCATGAATATTTCTTTCCATGTGTTTAAATCCCTACTGTATATTAAACAATAAAGGTTTCTATTAAAGCAGAGAATTACCTCTTTTTCTCCATCTCATGTTTCACTGTATTAGCAATTGTTTTTCTCTCCGTACTTGCGATATCATGGGAAAAAAGGAGGCAAGTATAATTGGTAGTACAGATAATTCAAGAGCAATTATATACAAATATACAAGTAGAACTACTAACCGGCACTAGCAGCTTATAAAAAAGTAGTGAATGAATGATAATTGGTAGTACAAATAAGGCTTTATGGATGCATGACACAAATATTTATTCTTGAAATCCCTGTAATATTGGAAATTGTTTCTTCTTCTGGTGTTTTGCTCACTTTTAATTACTACAGCGCTTTGACCAAAAAAAAAATATTACATCACTTCCTTAGTGCTAGCTTTATAATACAATTGCTTTTATCTAGAAAAAGGATTTACTTTTTGAACCTCAAAATTATTTTGTGCAAGACACTAAGATTAAACAATAAAACTACGGAACAGAAAGGTCACTATAGTTTTAATTTTAACAAGGCAACTAATCCTCTTAAGGTCCTAATTGAAATCACAATTATTATTAGACTTCATCGAATTTTCTCAAAGAACAGATAACACCTAATCTCACAATACATTCAATCCCTTGGAACCCAAAATGTCCATTGAAACTAGAGATACGGATATAACATCTTCCTCAAGATTCACGATAGTAATACTCACATCATTAAGTGTAACTATTTCCACTTTGAGTTTCCATCACTAATAAGGATAAAATCAGTACAATTGAAATGTATTAAGTCAATTTTCAAACATAGATGCTAAAGAAACGAATATAGACAAAGCAGAAACAAACTTACAGTGAGATGTCGGAATCAAAGTAACACAGCCAAAGAGAGACTTGCATCCGCAATGCCAGAAATAACCTATTCTTTAAGAGCATTACACCGCAAAAAATATAGACAAAGCAGATGCCAAAATCTACATCTATCCCAATTCCAAAAGGCATAAATATACCTAAAAAAAATTATAGTCACGATCTGCTTGTGAATCTACAATCAATAGAAAGGAACGTAATATTTAAAAAAAAAAAGTTATAATAGAAATACTAACCGAATAAGACATGGGACCATTGATTAGAACTGAAATGGAGCTATAAATACTGATGTGGATGAACCACACTATCTTTATTTAGAACCTGCAAGAAAATAGTTTATTTGATGCCCATGTTTTTGCTTTGAGAAAGAGTCGACCCTGGTTAGGACCTCCTAACTAAAAACCTAAATCGAAGCATTCAAGGAATTGAAACCCTAAAGTAGAAATAACTAAAACTAGAGATGGAGGAGCATACAATTTCAAGCCATAACCGCAGCACTGGAAGATAAGGTTGTCGCTCATTTGAACCTCGTAACTCAAAGCACGAGTCGAAGGGTTGAATGAATTGGAGAAGGTGAAAGCCAAAATGAAAATAAAAGGGGGAGGGATTCGGGGGGAAAAGGGGGAGGAAAGTTTGCCGCGTTTGTTTTTGCTGAAAATTGAGAAAGAACTAAATATTCTTTAGGCCACAAGTCAAGCAAAATGTTGAGAAAAATAAGTATTTTACCAACAAGAAAATACTTTTGGCAACACTAACAATTTATTGTTGTCAATTTATTTATATTTTAAAATTATTATATTACCCAAAAAGTTATGGCAGCAAAATTAAAACGTTAGCCAACAAGAATTTTTTTGTGGGTAAAAGTTCTATGATATAGCAACAACTAAATAGAGTTGTTGCCATTTATTTATTTTTAGCAACGATATCATTGTTGTTGCTAGAAAGTTGTTGTAAATTATATACTTTCTTCTAGTGTGTGTCTATGTATTAATTCTTGTGTGAGTTACGAGAGTTCACACCGTTTTTGAAGTGAAAATATGCTCATTACATATTTCTTATATGTAGGAACAAACTTGCGCGGAAAAGGATCAAATGGAAGAAACATTAGTGAAAAAAGAGTTGAATAGAAAAGTCCCGGACAGCGAAGCGAGGTTCACTTCGCCAGACCGGGACCGGAGCAGAAGAAACCAAAATAGTTCCGGACAGCGAAGTGAGGTTCACTTCGCCAGACTGGGACCATAGCAGAAGAAACCAGAAAAGTCCCGGACAGCAAAGCGAGGTTCACTTCGCCAGACCGGGACCGGAGCAGAAAAATTAGCTTTTTCAATCCAAACTAGGTGAAGCCAATTTCGCCCAAACTAAACCCTAAACCATATAAATATGAGAGTTAGCCACTTTTTGAAGAGAGAGAAGTATTTTGGGGAGGCAAGAATACACTTGGAAGCAGAGAAAAGCCATAAAAGAGTTCGAAAATCATGGAATTCATCTTGAGTTCTTCTTTCTCCCTTCTATTATTGGTTTTTATGTATTCTTGAAAATTTGTTGAGATTGCTACCATGACTATGCATGGCTAAACTCATTTATTATGGGATTGTAGTTTTGTATGAATGTTGATATTCGGATATTAATTTGACGATTTAATTTATTAGATTGGGTTATTTATTCATATCCCGAGCCTAATTATTTTACTGCCTAGCTAACAGTGAAATACTATATATGAATCTTGAGTTGAACTTGAAAGAGGTAATTCTTGATTGCAATAGGATTGAATAGAGCGTGATCTCGAGCCTATTCATTGGGGAATTGATTTGTGAATACGGATAGAAATATACCTATGGCCCTAGAATAAATTGAATAGGCGAGAAAAAGTTGTCAAATTTCTACGAGTATTTTTGTCCTTGCAGGTTAATAACCCCGATAAATTGATAAGTCGGGTTGATTGAAGAATTCAACAGGATTGTTATCCAACCATGACCCTAGAATATTATTTCTAATTGAATTAAAATCCTTCATGCTAAGTGTGCTAATTCATTAGTTTTTCTTTTACTTGCAATTATCAGTAGAAGAATTAATCAAAAAAAACTACCTTGAAATTGTTTTTGACTCGATAAACTAGAATTCGCTTAAGTTGACAATTAATCACAAGTACTTGTGGGAACGATACCCTACTTACTCTTTATTACTTGATTGACTGCGTGTACTTGCGTGTGCGATTTAGGGCAACAAGTTTTTGGCACCGTTGCCGGGGACATAATTATTTCACTAGATCAAGCTTTCACTACTTATCAAGTCAAGTTTTAATTTTTATTTTTATGTTTTCTAGTTTTAGTATAATTTGGTATGTTTTTACTTGTGTTAGATGACATATTTTAATAAAATTTGGTTAAATATTGGTTATTCTTATTTTGGTGATGCTTGTCCATATTGTGGAGGACCACACTTGTGGCAAAATTGTGAAAATATTTCCGGGAACGAGTTGGGTGCACCATCTCAATATTTTGCGTGGAATATTTCTAATGTGTGTGGTGGTCAAGTTGGCCATTGAGATGGTTGTCCTAATTCTTATTAGGGGTGGGCATTCGGTACTTCGGTACCGTATTTAAAAACTTCGATTCAGTACTTCGGTCTTTGGTATATCAATTGTGCATACCAAATACCGTTCCAAAGTAGTTCGGTATGGTTCGGTACGGCTTCGATACGGTTCGGCAAAATTGCTGTTAGTTTTTTCTATTTGCCAGTGGAGATGTCACAATAGTCCATCCATATAATCCAAATCCATGAGATAACCATATTGGTTTATCAACAACGAACTCGAAGGAATAATATTTTCATCTATTGTACCCAATCTATCTTTAAATGCCTAATATTAGTACTGTACTTAATCCAAATTTATGATAATCACTAATCGTTCCTTCTAGCCTGAAAAATCTCCAGCTTTGAAAATCAAATCTGCCAAATTATGTTCTAACTGAGAATCCACAGTAAAGCAACAAAAGACAGAAGAACCAATGAATCTAAAACAACAAGAAAAAGAGGAACTTTTCCAATATTAATTAGTTCCAGAATCAAATATATGAAAATATAACCACATTCCACCAACTTGGAGTTTGTAATCTTGATATACATATCTTATTGTAAGTTAAAAGTAGAAGATTGGACTTGGGTAGTTGTATTGGGCTTATCAGCTTTAGGGGTTGGAAGTTGGACTTGGGTTGGGAAATGGGAACTTGGGCTGGGCTTACTAAAATATTTCGGTATTTTGGTTTACCAAAGTATTGAAAGTTCAATACCGAGAACCGCACCGAAGTACCAAACTTTTGAAATATTTATATCGAATTAGTACCGAAGAACCGATATCGAAATATAAAATTAATTAAGTTCGGTCCGATTTTTCGGTTTTTCGGATTTTACGCCCACCCCTAGTTCTTATTATTCTTCTCTAGGTCTTATTATGATTCTTCTAATTATGTTTATGAGTTAGATATAAGCAATGAAGTGGAGGATATGGAATGTGTTGCTCGTATTATGGACATGGTGAGACAAGTAGCTGAGCAACAAGATAAAAATCAAAAAGCTATACAAAGAATTAGTGCAGCAATCACGAGAGTGAAGGCCGAGGTAGAAGAATTGGCTAATGAGAGCGAGTTCCCACAAGAAGATAATTTTGAAGAAGCAGATATAGTGAGCCAATCTTGGTTAGAGGAACAAACTCAACCAATAAAATTTTATGAAATTCTCCGTAATGGTTTTTCAAGTATGGCAGAACAGCTGATAGAAGGAAGAATTGAGCTCAGTCAAGAAACAGACCAATTTGGCTCAAATATCTATGACCTGCAGGCTCAGTTGAATAAAAGGATTGAGGCGTCTGATGCCCAACAACAAATTGTTAAGGATACTGGCCAGCTTATGAAGCTAAAAGAGGAATTCGAACTATTCGGCCAAAATATTATTAATGATGCCAAGATTGAGGAAGTGTGCAAAAGTGAGGATGTCAAAAGTGAAACGAATTTAGAGTTAGAACGTATTGGACCTCATTCTAAATACTTTTCAAAATTGTGTTTGGTTGGTGACATGAGAATTGATCCATTCGAACCTGTGGAGAAGTCAAAGGATGAGGAACAAAGTACATATATTCTGAAATTCTTGATGCCAAGGAGATAGAATGACATCCCTCACTTAAAAACCAAGAAGTACAAGATGCGATATTGTCCACTTGGTTCTTTTGTATTCGTACCACCACCCCAGAATCATGACCAGAAGCTTGAGTTATAATCGGGGATACAATTTATATCTTCATGGTAGAGAAAAAATGAAAAAATTGGTGTATGTCGTGCCACGACTATAAATAAGGCGCTTGTTGGGAGACAACCTAATTTTATTACTTCTTTTTATTTTTTTGTTTATTTTTTTTATCGTGTTATCTTTATAGTGTTGTTTTTGTATTTTTTTTAGGAGTAGGATTACGGAATCAAAGCCAATAGGCGGGTGCAAAATCGAGCAGATGGTTGGAACTAAGTGTGGGGTGTCCGCACAAATGATCATACTTGGGAGAAGTCTGAGTATCCCGTGAGCTGCTAATGCTTCGGCCTTTGGCCTACCAGGGATTCTCTTTTACCCTCTGTTTATTTATTGTGCAGATGAGGACATTGCACATTCTTAAGTGTGAGGTGGAGTGTTAGACTTTGGTTTTTGTGACATGTGCTTAATTAATAGTGATACATAATTGCATGATCACACTTATGACCATTATAATTGTATAATTGTAGTCATTTTTTTTGTGGCTTAATTCCGGATTTTCTTTAAACCACAGTTCTTTCCCAAGATGTTATTTTTTTGAACTGGTATTATTAGGTAGATTTTTTTCAAACTTTGTAAAGATTTATGGACTTTTCCTGACGATAGATTACCTACACAGTTTTCTTTGAGGGACTAAAGTCTAAAGAAAAATACAAAAAGATTTTTTTCTCTTTTTGAACTGATAATTGAATGGGAAGAACGTGAACGTCTATGCTATTAACATGATTTATATCGAGGCTTAGGTTTGGAGAATTTGAACTGAGTACTTTCGTCATGATCTGTATAATTACACGCCTTGACAGTATGTGTGGCTTTCTTTTGATTACTCCCTAATTGTTGGAATTGTTGTGATGACTATGCTTAGTTGTTTAACTTGAGAGTCAGTCGTGAGCCATCTGGAGTGAATCATATGCATTGTGTGATGTGTGGTCTTGATTACATTCTGTGCTATCTTGCTCTGTATGTTAGTCGAAGCGAAATAAGTAAGCTTTGCATGTCTAGGAGATGACGCCTAGGCGTTTCTTTGATTGTCTTTTGAGCTATTATGCCACCATAAATAAAATTATCCATAGATATCCCATTTGAGACTATAAACCTTTGTTTTATCAGCCACATTATAAGTCGATGCCCTTTTTTTTCTTAATTTGATCTTCTTGAACCTTTACCTCTGAAAGCACTTAAGTTTCTAGAAGAGTAAGGTGAAAGTAGCTTTTGAGTGAAACCATAGAAAGGCCAAAAGGTGCATGTATGTTTTGAAAGATCATTAGCGGGGCAACCTAATTTGGGAGATTGTTGAATTTTTTTTTAGAAAATACACCTCCTATTCCTTTTATCCGGCCTAGAGAATGCATAGTTGTGCTTAAAGAGAAAGGTCGAA